ATCTACTATACTGATGACAAGTGAAAGTAATACTATAGTCTTGACAGGAATCCTTGTTCAAGAAGCTCCATCTTCCCTGCAATTCTGTAGCTATCTATTCCTGTTCTTCCTGTTGTCAAAGTCATAATCATTGCATTATTATAACATTAATTAATTGTTTTTAAAATAAAATAATTCATTACACACTTTATAAAAGAATAAGATGCAAGATTAGTACCTTCTCTGAGCTGGAAACCTCCACTAAGTATTGCAATTGATTCCAAGCATAGCTAGCCTAGCTAGGTTAAAAAAATTGCTTGCTTTTCCCAGTTCTGAGATCTGAGCATGCGCGACCACGCCCAAATTTTGGAGCACATGCTTTTATAATTAACAAAATGGCGGCGTGAGGTAAGCTGGCCTAGCTTATACAGCAGTCATAACGTCACTTTTCTTATCTTGGAGAATGATTTTAGGGGACATGGATCCGCGCATAGACTGTTGGAGTAGAATGGTGTAAGAATTAGACTTCTAGCACCAGTCATTATTGAGATACAGCTCGCCAACTGGATTGACAGGACTTACTTCTTGATGATGAAGATGAAAAAAGGTGGCTGAACAAAACGGCCGGTTCGCCGATTTTTGACTTTTCTCTTAGACAAGGTCTAGAGCCACGCTATGGGTACCAATGGAGTCCTCTGGTCAAGATAAGGTCCCCTAAGAAGTCTGGTAAGCAAAGGAGCTCGTTTTCCCGGTATAGCAAGGCTGCAAAAGTCGTGGCAGCCATTTTGTTTGGGGGTGAATCCTACTTAGTAACGCTACCGCGTTACTAATGGGTATTTTTATGATTTCGGCATTTTCTTAAAATGGCCATAACGTAAAAAATTGAAGTCAGAATCAGCTCAAACTTGCTGCACAGCATAAGGGCATCAATATGTATCAAAAATTGTAATGAAAATTTGGGGTGATTTCGGAGCCATTTTATGGAAAAAACCATGGGCTATAGCCTTGGGTATTTTTCAGAATTTTAGCATTTTCTTAAAATGGCCATAACTTGAAACATCTTGGTCAGAATCAAATATACATGTACTTTATATAATAAAATTACATATTTATTTATATTTATTTATTTATTTAGTAAATTAATAAACAAATCAGTGAGACATACAGTAGACCTGAGGGCACTAACAAAGACCCCACCCCCTACTGCCAGCACTGCAGAAAAGACTGAAGCCATAGAAGAGAACATGCTACTAGTAGTTGAATCAGCTCGGGCTATTGGTTGCTCTGTTACTGATAATATGGTGGAGGAACTAACAAGAGGAGACAAAGCAACAATTGACAAACTAATAATAGAATTAATTAAAGTGAGACTGTATTAATTAGTGGGTGTGGTTGACCACACCTCTTTCTCCTCCCTCCAGTCTCGTGTAGTCCATATGCCTGGTATGGAGGATGAGCCTTCAAGTACTTTTAATGATTTGAGTACTTTAATGTCTAAACTAGGACTGGCCTATACTGATAGTGAGGAGACTAATGGAGGAACTGGAACTGACTCAAGTAATGGAGGAGGAGGTGAGACACTGGGACTGGGATATTAACATATAATAATTTATTATTACTGAGTAGTATTAGTATAATTTTTGTTAATTTTTTTGTTATTCACTGTATAGCAGGTAATTTTGGAGGGAAGAAATTTTGATTAATTGTGCTAAAATTTTATTAGTTGGTGGTCGGAATTTGTGTCCATGTGTCATTGAGCATGTACATAAGGTACAAAATGGTGTGTTCTAATTTGACAAATGGCTACTATATTAAAATGCTAAATTCCCTGAAATTATTTTCCTCCAAAATTACCCTCTATACGGTGTTCTTATGATGATATCAAATTTCCAATATGGCCGGGCGGTTTAGGAGGAGGTGTGTCAAGATCATGGAGAGATGAAGCAGTTAATGTTAGCAGGCCTAAAGATGGAGGACTGATGGTAAGGACTGATGATGAACATACACCTCATTCAGCTACTGGATCATGGAGGGAGGACAAGAAAACACCAGAAATAGGTACAGTGACTGATAATACAGTATAGCTTTAATTGAACAGTGTTTTAAGACTCATTTACAATATTTTCCCTCCCTCCCTTTCTCTCTCTCTCCCTCCCTTTTTCCCTCTCCCTCTCTCTCTCTTTCTCTCCCTCCCTCCCTCTCTCTCCCTCCCTCCCTCCCTCCCTCCCTCCCTCCCTCCCTCTCCCTCTCCCTCTCTCTCTCTCTCCCTCCCTCCCTCTCTCTCCCTCTCTGTACCTCCAGATCTCAGTAAGCCTAGTCTTGATGCTAATCTGTCATATGAGGAGAGGGCAGCCATTAGAAGAGCTGAGAGGGAGAGGAGAAAGAAAGAAAGAGAAGGACTGGCTGTCCCTAAATAATGAACACTCATTATTATTATTATTATTATTATTATTATTATTATTATCATTATTATTATTACATTCATTGTGTGTGTGTTTTGTATTTTCAGTCTAATAGTATTTAGTGTTTCAGACTCACTTTATTATTAATTCAACTATTAATTTTTTGTTATTTTTAGATCAAATCACTATTAACATAATAATGACATTAATCCTAAGTGCTACTTAGAATAACAACACATACAATAATGTAATAATTAAACTATAATGTAATAACATGATAATTTCACTATTGGTAGTGATTTGTGTGGTTGTTCTTTTCTGTGTCTATCAATCAATGTCTTCTTTTGATCTTTAAGAGTATCCACCAGGAGAGGAGGAGTAGAGGGTCCAACTTTAATCTCAATATATTCAAGTGATGGATGGATGAAGATAGTTTTATATAAATGTTGTACTAATTCTATCCAAATAGGTTGAGATGACTCTTTATTAATATATCCACACTCTATCCTCAGTAGTTTGATGGTTGTATGTGACTGTAACATGTTAGTAACAGCAGGTAGTACCTGTTCATAAAACAAAGATGTCATTATTTGCTCTGTCTCTTTACTGTATGACTGATCTGGTATGAAGTTCACTTTAAGTTCTGTGAGATTGTTCTTTTGAGAGATGACATTAATAAAAGTTCTTATCTCTTCATTCAGTGGAATGGATACACTCAACTGCTGTAGACTGGTGTTGTGTCTGAGACCAGTTGTTAGGGAGGACAGGAATGAACTGAAAATAAATCCGTAATAAATAATCTGAAAGTATTTTAATGTTTGGTTTTGTGTTAGCATGTCTTGTAGTTGTAGACTAACTTGAGAACACATACTGCTGGTACATACTCTCTCCTCCTTTATCTTCACACTCACAGCTTTAAGTGTGGTATTGGTTTGTATAATAGTAAATAGTTCAATAGCACTCTCAGCTGTGTCTAGTGGTAAAGTAAGTGTATGTAGACTGGGATGAGAGAGAAATAGAAGATGTGGTGGGTATGAATAATCATGTAGTATCAGGCAGTGTAATCCTTTGATACGTGGAAGGACTGATGTCATCAGTTCACTACTACTTATCCATTTTTTCCCAATCTTTAGAGCAGTCAGTGGTGTGTTCACCTCTACTATATTCAGTGGTGATGGTAGGAGCACATCAGGTATGGCCAGTGAAAGAGTTTGTAATGTGTTGTTGTCCTTTAGCAACTGCTCTATTACTCCATCATCAGGTAGAGGAGGAGAAGGACAAACAGGACCAAATACATTTATTGTCAATGATGTTATTATTCTATTTCTTGTTACTCCTCTAATGACACTGATAATGGTACTTAATGTCATCATAATCTCTGCAATAAAATCTATCTTCAATTCTTTTAGTGTTGAACTTATTTTTATACATTTCTCAAGTTCAGTGCACTTGTCTGTGTAACATGCATTATGAACTGTTGGTATAGTAGGACGGTCCATTCTTAAGTGCAGTATCTTCAATTGAGGAAGATCGAGGAACTGTAACAATACAAGACAGGGAACATATTGATCACATGATATTTCAAAGTAGCACTCCTGAATATTGTATAGAAGTGATGATTGTAATAATTTGTGTATTAAATCATCAGTGGGCCCATCCAACATTCCTTCCAGTCTCTTACACTGGTGGGTCTGTAGTGAGTTATTGGTTAGTCCAGCAGTGAAGACTGATATTGACTGGTTAGATACAGTCCCCAGGTGCAAGTGATTCCATGTTGTGTTGGAATTGTTTATACAATAACTGAGACACAACCAGTCAAACAATGATAGTGATACTCTATCCAGACACAGTGAGTGGTTGTTGATGGATTGTGCTAATACTTGACATAATGTTGTGTTCTGTGATTCATACAGGAGTTGAAGAAGAAGAAGAATAAAAGAATTGTCAAAATCATCAGAACTGACATGATCTTTTCCTCTAATCTCAGGATTCTGACAAAAGCAGGACACTTGACAACTCTTAAATCCAAACAATGGTTTCCTCTTACACTGTAAGTCAAG